AATAAATAAAAAATTAGCCGGGTGCGGTAGCACGCATCTGTAGTTCCGGCTACTTGGAAGGTTGAGGCGGAAGGATCGCCGGAGCCCAGCAGGTCGACGCCGGGGTGGCCGTGAGCGTGCCACTGCGCTCCAGCCTGGGTGACACAGTGAGACTCCGAGTCAAACAATACAATAAAAATAAAAATAAAACAAACAGTTAGACCCTGCATCTGGGCATCCTCACAACATTTACCACCTTCTGGGGCATGCAGATCTGGGTGACATTTATTCCAGGTGTGTCCCAGGGGCGTGCCCAGCCCATGACTTTGGCTGGGCTCACAGGGTTGTTGAGCCCTGCTGACAGCAGCCGGGCCTCAGGTGAAGACGCTGAACATACTACAAAGCATGGAGGCGTCGCAGTCCTCCCCAAACCCCCATGTGTGGCTGTGCTTTGGGCCAGACTCACAGAGGATCAGATTGGGCCTCAAGGTGTTTCAGTGACTTGCACACAGCCTTTACGTAGCAGAACTGCAATCAAAACCAAGAATGTCTGCAGGCTAGAAGGCGGCCTCCCCAGTGAGGGCTGATGTCACATGCTGCTTAAAAAAGAAAAATTGCCAACCACTTACAGGGATGCAGTACCTTCTAGCGTATTGTCTCCATTTTTTAGATAGAAAAACTGAGGCCCAGAGAGGGCAAAAAGCCGCCAGGGCTAAGCAGTCCCTGGCGTTGGCCCTCAGCAGGTCCTGGGGCTCCTGCTTTCTATCCAGGACTCTCCACGACAGGCAGGACGCTTTCTGGTCTGGCTGCGCCTCTGGGACCAGGATTGAGAGCGATGACGCCTGAGAACTGAGTCTGCTCATGGAGAGGCCTTACCTGTATGGCGCCAAAGAGCCTTGGGACGCTTCCTCGTCTGGGGGTCAAGTCGGGAGAATCATCCGAGGCAAAGTGCTGTTCCCTAGACTGCCTGGTACCCAAAATGACTAACACTTACGGGGTAAAGGAGGGGCCCCAGGCCCACCAGTCACTGCTAACCTTAGTGCTGCACCCGCCCTGCCCTTCCTCCATTGGGGGCAGCTGAGTGCATCAACTCAAGACACTGTGTGTGAAGGCTTTGCCAGAGATCTGTAAGGCACTTCCTTGCCCTGCTTACGACACCTGGAACCCAGGACACCTACCTGCAGTCTACAGGGTGCTGAAGGCACGCTAATCCTTGAGCCAGTGTGCATCCCCACCTGCTCTTCTGGAGGGTGGGACCCATGGAATCCCCCAGGCTCCGTCTTGGCAGCAGCTTCCCAGCACACTCTGGGCTGCACCCAGACCGGCCTCTTCCCCTCCTACTCAGCAAGGGCTCAGCCTGCACCTTCTGCAACCTGGTACTTTTTTCATGTGCCACCCGAGGCTGCTCAGGGAGAAGGCAACCACAGAGGCCAGGTACCCAGACCTTTCACCTCCCACCCCCACAGTGATCCCGTTCTGGCTGCCAGAGCTTTGGGAAACCCCTCCGGACACAGCTCTCCCTGAGAGACACATCCATGGCTGCCCAGGGTGCACAGAATGAAGTCCCACACCTGGGCCCCTGACAAGGCAGGCCATCCACCTCCCGCCCCCATCCCCTCTGCTCCACACTATCACACCCACTGATCCTCAAACAGGCCAGTGGGGTGCCTACCACATTCTCTGAGCACAGCGTGTGCAGCTGAGGGTACCTGGCCTAACAGCATCAGGTACAGGCCAGCCCCTCATGGAGCTCAGGGTCTGATGGCACGAGGGCGTGGCATGTGAGCAAAGGCAAGGATGTGGTGAACACCGGGGAGGGCGGGGTTAGGAGAGGCTTCTGGGCCCTCGCAAATGCTGAGCCCTCTGCTGGGAACTCTTACCTCAGGCCCCGCTGTCCCTAAGGCCGTTCACCTGGCATGTCTGGGAAGCCCCCAACAGGATCAGTCACTCCTAGCTGTGCTCAGCAGATCAAGTGTGCCCTCCTTTCATGCTGGTTGGTTTCCCTGTCGTTCTCCCTGATAGCCTGGCCTCCTCAAGAGCAGGGCTTGGGTTGGGATCCAACCCACAGCCAGCCTTCGTGAAGTTTGTGGCTGAATTACAGAAGCAAATAGGTCTTTCTGGCCCAGTGTCCCTGGAAATGCCCAAACAATCTCCACAACAGCGGGTGAGGACGCGTGTCTCATTCAAGGATTAGAGTGCCCTCAGCACCCTGTGGCCTGCCAGGGAGGTTTCCTGGGTTCCAGGAGTTGTAAACAGGGCAAGGAAGCCACCTCACGGGATTGTGCCCCGCACACCTGTGCACCTTCACATGGTGCAGAGGGCAGCAGGAGGGTTGTGTCCTGGTACCTTCTCACCTGTCCTGCTTCAGCTGGTCATTGTTGGTGCATATGGCCATGGCCATACTGAATTCATGCCCAGTGGTTTGGGCAAATGACATGAGACATCATGGGTGACATGTTCCTTGGGCAAGTTCCTTTCCCTCTGAGCCTCGGAGTCTTCTGCAGAATAAGGTTCAGTGAATGACAGTGTCTCAAGGTTCAGTGGATGACGACAGTGAGACACTGCTTTCTCCTCCATCGGGAGGCAGACACTGCACTACCTAGCCATGCACCTCCCTGCTCTAATCCCATGTGGCTTTCTCCCATGTGAGCCCCTAGCCCTGCCAAGGATGGGGGCTCCCTCGCCAAGCCTGCTGTGCTGAGCCCCCAAATCCACACTCACGGTCCCAGAATGTAGAAACACATGGGCCTTAGGGATTGTGTCTCCAAGCCTCTCATATATCTCAAGGGGGCAGAGGCCTGTAACATGATGGGACTTGCCCCAGGCCACATAAACTGCTCTTGTCTAGCTGAGGTCAGTGAGGAGGCTGGCACCTGCTTTCCCAATTGACCCAGGGTTCATGATGGGCCTATCTCTAGCCATGAAGGCTTCTCCCCAGCTGCTGACAGACCACGGGGTCCTATGTATCCAGGCCCCATTCCCTCTAACTCTTCTGCAAGGACTGCCCACTGAGTGTTGGCTGAAAGCGGCCAGGCTGTGTCTCAAGATAAAGTGTTGCAGAGAACATGGCCAACACCCAGGTCTCCCCTTCCCCTTTCCATCTGACAGATGCTCAGAGAAAAGGAATGTCATGTGACCCCACACAGTGGGACAGAGCAGGAGTAGGCCAACAGCACTTGAATACAGGATCACGTCTCAGCAGAGTCAGAGCCCTTTCCTTTTCCCATCTGTGTGCTGGTGACGTAAGAGCCTAATGACCAAGATGCCAGTGGACACAGGCCCTCTATGTCCCCCTGCCGCTGGACCTGGTAGAGGCTCGAAAAGTACTTCTAGGGATTGTTATTATAAAAATGTTCCTTACACAGGCTGGTGGCTGAACAAAAGCTTTCATCTTTTGTGCAAGTCTCAACCTCAACATGACTGACAGTTTGGGCTGGACGATTCTTTGTTGTGGGGGCTGCCCTCTGCACTGTAGGGTGTCCAGGGGCACCCCTGGCCTCTCTACCCACTAGATGCCTTAGCACCCCACCAAGCTGTGATGTCCCCTGGGGCGCTGAATTACCGCTGGCTGAGAATCACTGCTGCTCTAATGTGACCAGTCTGCATGGATGTACCCTGAATATGGTGTGCTTGAGTCAAAAGCTATTTATTTATTTATTTATTTTGAGTTGGAGTCTCACTCTGTTGTCCAGACTGGAGTGCAGTGGCTGCTCCCGGCCACCGCAGCCTCGACCTGCTGCTGGGCTCCGGCGATCCTTCTGCCTCAGCCTTCCGAGTAGCTGGAATTACAGGCATGCGCTACCACGCCCGGCTGATTTTTTGATTTATTGTAGAGATGAGGTCTCGCTGCCCAGGCGGGTCTCGAACCCACGGGCTCAGGCAATCCACTCACCTCAGCCTCCCAAAGGCACGGGATTACAGGCTGAGCCACCAAGCCCAGCTAGAGCTATTTATTAAATAATCACATGCCAGGCACTGGGTTGGGCACTCCACACACAGCATCTGCACAGAAGGGCTCTAGGGACAAGCCTGTGAGTGTCAAGTGTGGGGGAGCCACCTAACAGGGGAACCAGGCCCCGAGCAGCAGTCCTGGGCCCACAGGATCCACATCTGGCCTGACAGCCTGCCTTTCCAAACCCCTTATCTCCCCAGGACCCTTGGCCCCACCCAATGAGGGAGGGGAGGATACTGAAGAGAAGGGAGAGCAGAAGCTGGGTGGTGACCAGCCTGACAGGAGCCTTGGCCTGCTGGGTACTGAGGATGAAGGTCTCAGACCCTTCTCAGGTGTGTACTTTTCAGTATACGACCTGCTGGCATCCAGCGCCGCTCCTCTCAGCCTGTGTGGGGGCCAGGAGCTGGGTAATCCTCTAAGCAGAGCTGAGGGAGATGGCACATGGGAGTGTGGGATGGCTGGTGAGGGCTGCTGCTGGGAACCCTGCCAGGCCTGCCGGGGTTGCTGCTGACTAAGTTAGGCCCCTTACACAAAGCTCTGAGTTCTTCCAAAGAAGGGCAGACGGAGTCTCTAGCAGGAGAGTGAAAGAGAATGGCCTAAGTGTGGCCAAAACCAGGCTTATGAGGAGGCTTCCCAGCCACAAGTCATGGTTCTTTGTAAATATGCCATAGCCAATTTATCTTCAAAAGTAGTAAAGTACATACCACAAAACCCCAAATTAGTCCATCTTAAGGACAGTAGCTGGCTTCAGTTTAACCATGTATTGTCAGCTCAGTAACAAACAGCCTCCAAGCCCGGGTGCCTACCACAACCAAAGTCTCTCCCTCCTTAATGCTTCAGCATGGCTCCACGCGTCTTACCATTCTGGCACCTAGGCTAAGGAACAGCTCCTCTGGGAGACGAGTGTTCTCACAGCAGAGGGAAGGCCACGAGCCCAACACTCATAGTCTTCACACTTCTGCTGGACGCAGTGCAGGCCATGACTGCTCACCTCCCTTCGCCTCAGGAACAGGAAGTACCCCCCCCCGGGATGTGGGGTGATACTGTGAGAAGCCATACAGCTACAGGTGAGGACATGGACATATAAATCCTCTCGGAAGGGGAGCAAACAGCTGCAGACACCTATGACAGTGACCCAATGTGCAAGATTTTCCAATTTAAAAGGCACAAGATCCTAAAACGTGAAAACTGCAGAGGAATTCAGGCCACTGTCCACGTGTCACAGTTCTCCACACTACAAAGGCCAGGAAGCCAGCGATCACTCGGGAGTACCAAGGACCCCCGTCTGTACAGTCCTCACAAATGCAGAACAGGATGTGGCTCCTGGGTCCCATTTCCCCCCCAAAGGCATCTACAGCAGCCCCACACGGCCCCTCCCGTGCCCATGAAATAACCGAAGCAGGTCTCTCAGCCTTAAAGCCCTGAAACGATGCACACAGTTGGCATGTCTGTGTGCGGTCTGAGGGGCAGCTTCCCCAAGGTGTCTCACTCTACAAAGGCTCAGAACCATGTTACTGGGCACTGAGTCAGTCTCCACAGGGTGGTGAGTTACTCGGGTCAGCTGCTGAACTGTAGCAGATGGTCCCTTCAGAGACAGTGCAAGGACTTCGTGACCAAGGCGCAGAATTCTGTATCAACTGAGAAGAGTGAAGACCTGCTGCAGCTCAGTAGGTGGTCACAGAGGGGGCAGCTCTGGGAAATCAGCAGCCCTTTCCCCACCATGATGCTAGGCAGGACTATCCCCAGGGCGGCAGAAACAAGATGCTGACGTCCAGGAGTGCGTCCGGCCAATCCAAGCATGCCAGGGGAGGGAAAGGGAGGAGAGCCAGGGCTGGCTCCACAGCCTGGCTCAGTCACTTGATCTGGTGCACCTTTCTTCCCTGGAGATAATTCTTGCAAAAAGGAGAAGATCCTATGCAGACCAGAAATGCTGGCGTCAGGGATTTTACGACATACCTGTCATGAACACAACAAGACTGGGGGTTAATCAAATTACAACCTCAAATGGCCACGGACCCTCCCAACAATATTCAAGGGGAGCCTTTGGATGTGAGTCAACAGTAAAATGCAAGTTTAGCAGTCATTTCTCTGGTTCTTTATAAATCCGGCAAATCAGCATGAGATTCCCGCCCTTACAACCCAGCCAGAACATTCAGGCCAGTCCTCCAGCATCATGCGTGTCTTTGGCTAGACACAAAATAAAGCCACAAGAAATGCCTTTCGTTCATTCGCTCAGTGTTCAGTGAGTGCTAGGGTAAGCCAGGCCCTGTGCTGAAAACACAGAGATTACAAAACAAACACACCATCACCTTTGCTCTCAAATTCAGTCCTGAGGGGAGGGAGATGAGAACCAATTAAGAAGAGCAAGGCACAAACGTAGAAGCGTTTGTGAGGTACAGCCTCAGCCAAGGAGGCACGATTTCCTTTATGGGAAAGGGAGTCAGGAAAGACTTCCTAAAAAATGTCATATCTGAACTTGGCTTTACTTTGGGGAAGGGTGGTGATGGGGGTCAGGGAGCAAACCCAGAAGGTGCAGGTAACCAGAGCATTTGCTGTTGCGGGGTCACAAAGCAAAAGGAGTAAGGAGGCTAGAGAGGCATGCAGGGCCTGGCCTTGAGGGCTGGGGGAGTCAGCATTCCCCAGCAGGCCTAGTTCTTGACAGAGGACATATTTCTTGGCTCCACCCAGCTCAGGGTCCAAAGTTGCCAGAAGCCTGTCCTGGGTAGCCTCCTGTCTAACCTAGTATTTTTTAAAGTAATCACTTCACATAGTATTTACATTTTCTGAGGCACATAAGACTGGTTTCCTCCAAGGACCTCTCTGCTTTCTGTTTAGATTTTATCCTCCTTCTTAGAGATGGGGCAGGGCAGACCTCAGGCCTTCAAATTTGCTAACAACTGAGAAAATGAACAGGTAATTCATTTTTTATGAATGAATTAATTAGAGATTTGGGACCAGAGAAATACAACAAGAGTATCGATCAGATCTAGAAAGCTCTTCCCTTCCTGCCTACCAAGCCACAGCAGCAGCCTCAAGACCAGCTGGATCCCAGCACCAAATCAGTCAACGCTTCACCAACTCCATCCATCCTGCCTCCTAGCTGTCTCTCTAATCCGTCCCCTCCTGTTTCACGCCTTGCGACTGTACAATATACTTCAAATGTGCACCGTACTCTGTACGTTTTTTTGTTTGTTTGTTTGTTTTTAGTCAGGGTCTTATTCTGTTGCCCAGGCTGGAGTGGCACGATCATGGTTTGCCACAGACTTGACTTTCTGGGCTCAGGTGATCCTTCTGCCTCAGCCTCCAGGATAGCTGGGACTACAGGCACATGCCACCACGCCCAGCTAATTTTTAAAATTTTTTGTAGAGACAAGGTCTTGCTATGTAGTCTAGGCTGGTCTTGAACTCCTGGGCTCAAGCAATCCTTCTGCCTTGGCCTCCCAAAACGCTAGGATTACAAGCATGAGCCACCACACCCAGCTTATTCTGTACATTTTTAAAAATCTTTTGAATTTTTTATTTTTAAAAATTAACACTAGTGAACGATGACATGACATGTTGGAGTCAGATCGCCCTCACATCCTACTGTGTACATTTTACCTGAATACCCTCTGTGATTCCACACAGCACTCTCAGGATGAAGTTTACACTCCTTAGTAGGGTACTCAAGGCCTTCATGCATGACCCTTAGTTTTTCCAGCCTCCTTTCCTACCACAGCCAGACACAGCCAGACACCCTCTTTCCCCTAACACATTTGGGCTCTGTGAACCTAAGTGCAGAAGCATTTGCTTTTCTTGGCTTGGCTTTGCTCAAAGCTGGAGGAAAAGTGTCCAAGAGTTGACTTGTAAATCTACTCAGGGCATTCCTTTCATCCAGGAACACCTCAAAGATGCTGAGAGAAACAAATGCCAAATCCAACCCACGGCTGCTGCTAACAAGATGCCTTCTTACAGCAGGACTGCCCTATAAAGTCTACAACAGCACTGGACTCCTACACGCTCACGACTCTCAAATGCCTGAGGAACACATAGGCGAGAGCCATTATTCCCATTCTAGAGATGAGGAAGCAGTCCCAGAGAGCAGTGTGTGCTTGGAGTCACATGGCCAGCAAATGCTGGTGTCTGACTTCTCATAGAACAGTGCCAGGGGCTGGGCATGATGGCACACCTAGTCCCAGCCACTCAGGAGGCTGAGGTGGGAGGAATACTTGTAGCCGAGGAGTTTGAGACCAGCCTGGGGAACACAGGTACCCCATCTCTATTATAAAAATAATTTTTAAAAGAAGATGAATAAATAAGTAAAAGCAGGAGACACGGCTTTCAGGCACAAAAGCCAGGCAGCTTTACCCTTCTCAGACCAGCCTCTTCACCTCCCGGTCTGGGGGTGTCATGGCTACGGTGCCATGGGCTATTACCACTCTGCAACCTGTTTGGTCAATAGCTCGGTTTAGTGGGCCAGGCCAACGTCCATGTTTGTCGTCTCACACAACTTTGCCCAGGGCAGAAGGGAGCAGAGTAATAGGCAACAAATCAGCAGTGAAATGAGAACCTGGTTGTCCTTCTGGGACGCCACCTGAGCATCTTCCTGGTCTACTTGGCCCCATGAGGCTGACTCACCTGGGGTGCTGCAGAACTTGCAGCAAGGTCTTCTTGGGAGGCACCTGATACAGCTCTGCCCCATCCTCATCCTCAAAGTAGACCTGCAAGATCAGTAGAGGGGCACTAGTCAGAGACGAGGCATTTCAGCAGCACTAAGCATGCTGAGGTTAGAGAGCCAGCAACTGTTACTAGCTGAACGCTCCTTTGTACAGCTGTGGGGCTGGGTGCTTTGCCTTCAGCCCTGCCCATGACACTGTAAGGACGGCTACATTCAGCTCCATTTTCCAAAGGTAAAGCAAGGCTCAGAAAAGGGAAACAACTAGCCAACATTACCCAGCCAGTAAACAGAGGGGCCAAGACAAGGCCAGGCCTATGGAGCCTTTCCTTCTAACAATTCAGTCCTAAGCCATCACATGTGAGGGAGAAAGCCATGGTGATAAAAGCACAGGAAGAGCCTGAGCAGGGTATCTAAGCCCAAGCAGGGTGAGGAGGACGTCTGCACAGGAGACTGTGGGGGTGTTAGAGCTGGACCAGTGAGGCAGGGCATCTGTGCTGGGGCTGGCCATCTGAGCAGGGGGAGAAGGGCTCCCTTGTGATGGCTGCCAAGGTGGAGAATCAGAGCCCAAGGTGGGTGAAGAGTTAAGCGCCCACATGACAGCTTGTGTGCATGCTTTTCTTCTCTCTCTCTCTCTCTCTCTCTCTCTCCCCCCCCCAAGCCGGGAAGCCCTGAGAAGGCATTGAGGCAGTAAGTCTGCTCCCTTCCCTCATTATTCATCAACACACCTATTGCACAAAGATCTTGTATTCTAAATACCACTCTTCACAAGAAAGAACTAGGGTTCCTTGGGAAAAATTGCTGATTCCATGGGCAAGGAAAGCACAATTTGAAACTGGAACATCTTGTGCCAGAAAACAAGTGATAGACACAAGTCAAAAGAACACAGAAATAAATGTGAACCCATGGGCCAAATCTGGGACAATGTGAGTGTAAAATAAACAATCCTGGCAGCAGATTATAACTCACTGAATAAAATAGGAAATCATAAATCCACTGATAAATGGGGCATTCATATCATTTCCAAGTATCTCCCTATAAAATATTAATCCTAAAGGGGTTAAGGGAAACTGTGTAGTACAGAAGGCTGGCAGACCCAATCAGGTGGTGAAAGTGATCACAGGTTATGGGGAAAATGGAAAGCATGTGCCACGTGAGGGTGCAGAGAGAACACAGTGCCACTCCTGTGAGACTTCACAGACATGCAAAATCCAAATCTAGTCACAAGGAGCATGAGACACCCACACTGACAGACATTCCACAGACTAAGTGGTCTGTAATACTCAAAGGTGTTAAGATCAGGAAAGGCTAGGAAAGACTAAAGAACTCTTCCATACTGAAGGAGACTAAAGAGACATGATCACTAAACAATGTGTGATTCTGAATAGGATCCTTTTGCTATAAAGAATTTGAGAACCTAGCTGGGTGTGGTGGCTTACACCTGTAATCCCAGCACTTTGGGAGGCAGAGGTGAGAGGACTGCCTGAGACCAGGGGTTCGAGACTAGCCCGGGCAACTTGGTGAGACCCTCATCTCTACAACTAAAAAAAAAAAAAAAAAAAACTAGCTGGGCACAGTGGCGCATGCCTGTGGTTCCAGCTACTTGGAAGGCTGAGGTGGAAGGATCACCTGAGCCCAGCAGGTTGAGGCTGTGGTGGCTGTAGTAGTGACACTGCACTCTAGCCTCGGCGACAGAGTAAGACTCCAATTTAAAAAAAAAAGAATTTGCAAAACCTGATTGGAGTCTGAGGATGAGATGGTAGTAGTGTATCAATGTTAATTTCCTGACTTTGATAGCTGGATTGGAATTATAAAGAAAAATGTCTTCATTTGTAGGAAGTATACACTAAAGTATTCAGGGGTAATAGTACATCAGTTGGCATCTTACTCTCAAATGATTAGAAAAACATAAATTATTTATACTGTAAATTGTGATTTTAAAAAATTCCAATGATGGAATATTATTCAGCCTTTAAAAGAAAGGAAGGTCTGACACATACTACATTACCTATGAACCTTGACGACAACACTAAGTGAAACAGCCAGACCTTTCGAAAGGACACATACTGACTGCATTTGTATGAGGTACTTAGGATAGTCAAAATCAGAGATAGGCCAGGCATGGTTGCTCACACCTGTAAGTAAGCCTAACACTTTGGGAGGCCAAGACAGGAGGATTGTTTGCACCTAGGAGTTTAAAACCAGCCCAGGCAACATAGTGAAACCTTCTCTCCACAAAAAAATTAAAAAATTAGCCAGACATGGTGGCATACACCTACAGTCTCAGCTGGAGGATGAGGTGGAAGAATCACCCGAGTCCAGGAGGTCAAGACTGTGATGAGCTGTGATCGTGCCACTGCACTTCAGCCTGGGCAACAGAGTGAGACCCTGATTCAAAATTACAAAAAAAAAAAAGAGTCAGAGGCCATGCATGGTGGCTTACACCTGTAATCCTAGCACTTTGGAAGGCCAAGGTGAGAGGATAGCTTGAACACAGAAGTTCAAGACCAGCCTGGGCAACATAGCAAGATCGTGTCTCTAAAAAATATCAAAAAATTAGCCAGGCATAGTGGTGAGCAACTGTGGTTCCAGCTACTCGGGAGGCTAAGGCAGAAGGATCGCCTGATTCCAGGAATTCAAGGCTGTGGTGAGCCATGACCATGCCACTGCAATCCAGCCTAGGTGACAGAATAAGACCTCAACTTAAAAAAAAAAAAAAAAAAAAAAAAAAAAAA